AGACTCGGCTCTCATGACCAAATTTGAACCGACATTTTTTTTCTCTCACTTGCAATTTTATACAGTATACTCTTTTTATGGACTTTCTCAAAGTAATAATTTTAGTGTTAATTTTTTATCGAATATGACGGTTCTTATGACGAAAAGAAACTATTGGAAGGGTTCGTTTCGAGTATTACTCCAAACACCGTTGTATGATCAGCCAAAATTCAATAAATTAACTAAATTCTTGTTGTTGGCTTTTAATTACTATTCGAACCCTTGTAATAATTTTAGTTTAGGGAACAGAAAAAGGTCTTATCGGGTCATTAACAGGTAAATACGGTACTTACTCGGACACATCCGTTGACTCTATTGTGCTATGTTTTGAAATGACAAATTCTAGTTACTTTTCAACTAAATGTAATTTTTTATAGTTTTGTAGGGGCCTAATAACACATTTTAAAAGCAAGAAAATTGTATGAACTGGTTTACTTACTATTTTCAAAGTTAAATTATCTTTTCAGTCTATCGGTTTCAAAACACTTGAATGTAAACAGACTATTAACACATTTAAGTACTTTTGCAACTTAAATTTGACTGTATTTTTCTTACCATATATTTGTCTTTAAAAAAATCTTGACATGTAAATATAAAATTAATCTTCACATCCGCTTAAATAGCAAAATGAGAAAATTTAATAGGATTTTCTAAGATCCTTCAAACAGGAAATGTTCTAAGAGTGATTAATTTAACTGATTTAATAAAATCTTTTTATATCACGAAAAAATCTCATAGGCTTTGCAAATGCAATTTATTTGTATTAACAGCCTTAAAGTTTACTCATCTGCGAATGAAATTCCTTTCAACAGGTGAAAACATCGTGAGTGAAATTTATAAATTTGGCACTTGTATGGAAATGTCGCATCTATTTATTTTTATCATTTACCTTGTAAAAAGGATACTTTTAAGGTACGCAGGAAATGAATTGTAAATGAAATGCAGAGTCATCACTATCATAACAGCACAGTTCAAGATGAACCATTCGAATGTTAAATGCAATTTGAAATAAATTTTTTAAATCAGATCATCTTTTATCAAACGTGTACCCTTTTTATTAAATTTATGTAGATAAAATTAGTTTATCATTAATACTTGCAGTAGAAAACATTCTTACCAATTCTTTAAAGTCAAAATCACAAAAAGGTGTTTAGCTTCAATTTACCGTTAATGTTTTACTTTGTACAGGTGCCTTTAGAAACTAATAAAACAACCTTATTTGTTCTACATCTTAACACCTTCAACTTATCTCAATGATGTAGCTATAATTGTGCCATGAAGGTGAAGGGGATATACTACAAAATTTCTTTTACCGGTATTTTTGCAGTGTATTATCTGTAGATTATATTATCACCCTCCCCCTGAATACATCACTGACATATTTTTACTAAATTAATTGCACTGCCACTACACTGGGATAATCTACTAAGATTAGGGATTCTATGAAACTGAGTAAAAACAATATTAATTCTTAGAAGCTTCTGATGATCCGGCATCGATTGAATTAAAAGCATACAGAACAGGAAATATGAAATAGACAGCTAAACTGATATCTAATGTAATCAGCTGGCTCAAACGGAATTCAGGAGACACTAATTACTATCTCACTTAGACGCCGGACATGTATATTTTTGCAAATACCTGTACCTGTACCGAATCCACCATACTGCATTTATGGCAACGGTGACAGTATCGACACAGAACACACCTTCATCTACTATTATAGGTGGCTCATATTTATAGAAAAGATTGGACTAATAAGTCCCGAAAATAAAATTTAAAAGATGAAAGCGAACCCAGAGAACTGGCAAACGATAGAATCATATATGATTCAAGTCCTCAAACCGAAGAAATCAGACCCGAAAAGGAGAAGTGGAAACGAGGCTAATAAATAGTGCGGTGAAAAAGTGGAGATCTGAACGTATATCGAAAATCAAAAGATCATGGCTTGCAAAGACTCCCGGTTCCGGGAGAGAACAAGTCTCTCCGAAGAGGAGGTGTTTTAGTCCATATACTTCATATAATATTAATATGTTAGGGAATTGGGCGCACCACGCTAACGACGGCCGGTTCGACGATGCATAAAGCACGGATAAGGTACCTTTCGATAAATTTTCATATTGCAAAGGGTTCATGATGATAACGTGAACAAAATTTTTTTTACCATGGACGAAACCGTAGCTTCTAACCCAGTAATGGCCAATATACCCTGTTTGAAACACAAGCAGTTTGTTCTATCAACAACAAACGAACAGAAATAGATGTAGCCAAAAAATAGGACACCTATGCAGGAACATCATCACAACTTGACTAGTAGAGAATGAGCACATGTAACCTAATACACCAAATAATGGGAAGTGAAAATTAAGCAGGGTTACAACATTAGAATATCGGTAATTTTTAATAAGTAATCATTTATGATATCAAGAAACCACTCAGTCTTGATGGATTATCAACTTTTTTTATAAATCTGCATCAAAGTGAATCAAAAAAATCCACCGGCGAATTCTCATCATATTCTTATAACTACCTAGCTACGTTCCAAATCAGATGAGGCAGAGATGTAAATGCACTTATCATCTTCTTATATTAGAAATGCTTTGATAAAGTGAATCCTGATCACCTTTAAACAGACAGAAAGTTTACTGTTCGCTTAGAGAATTCCTTCCAATATAAAAACATTATTGTTCCTACTATTAGCATCGAAATGTTGATCCCAAACATTCCAGTGAATCATTTAAACTTCTTCAAAGTTTATAAATTCTCATACATTTAATCTGAACGTATTCTATGAAAACTCGTTAAAATTGAAATTGAAGTATTCTTTCATTTTATTTCGTTTATTTTTATTTAGTTTTGTATTTCATTTATTTATTTATTTAAGAAGAAATAAAAGAAAAGAAAAATGGCTAATATTAATTTTATATGTCCAAACATAAACATAAATAAGTATATTACTTACCACTCTAAATCCGAAAAATGTAAAAAGATTTTTGAATTTACTTAATTGCTATCAAAGTTGATAAGATTTTCTTATTAGTGATATTAATTTGTCTTAAATAATTGGGTTTTAAATAATAAATCAATTTTTTCTTATTGAATTCCTCAAGTGGAAGTGTGATAGTACTTTAATTAAATTATCTCTTATAAAAGTAAATTAAAACATGAATTTTGTAGAAATTCAAACAGAATCAATTTCTAAGAAAATAATCAATTTAAAAGAATAATTGGCAAATATATTTATGCATTGATACATAAATACATAAGATATTAGATGGTTTCAACCAGCATTAAATAGTATTTCAGTAAATGCACAATAGTAAAATATTTCATAAAATATAACAGATATTTTTTGATTTTTTGTTTTCTTATTTAAAATAATTTAAATTTAATACAATCACTTTGAGAATGGTGTGAATTTGTTTAAATTATTTCTATCATATAATGTACTGTTCTAAAAAAAATCAATCAAACTCTGCAATCTATGGGGCCTTCTAAAAACATATCTCCGCTTATATTAATACTCCATACATTTCTCATAGCCTGATTGAGATATTGCCTTTTAAACTCATATCACCGCTTATACTAATACTCCATACATTTTTCATGGGCTGATTGGATATTGTCTTCTTAAAACATATCACCGCTTATACTAATACTCCATACGTTTTTCATTAGCTGATCGAGATTTTTGCCTTCAACTTCTTCAGCAAATTTTTATTAATGACCAAAATCGGTTAGAAAAAACTTCTTTAAAATTGTAATTTTACCTTCGGTAACAGAAAAAATTCAGACTAAACCATGTCGGATGAATACGGTACAAGTTTTGTTTTTAAACTTGCCCGTTAGCTCCGTAGCAGCGTAAAACACTCAGAAGTATAATCAAAACAGCTGATGAAAATATGTTAGGAAGACATTGCGATAAAATGCTGGTGGCGGTTAATAATCCAAAAGAGTAAATATGGTAGACAATTTTGAAATTGAAAAATAACTTTGTTTAAAACTATTTTTCCCAAAATAGATATAAAGCTCCATGTAAAATTTCTTCCTAGACAAATATTTTAGTTAAAAAGTCCAAAAGGACTGGATAGATAATTTTCCAAAGATAACCTAATAAAAGTAATATATTTATGTTCTGATTAACTATTAGAATAGAGCCTTCAAACTATTTACGAAAACTGACAGGCTTACCAACACCGCATTATGGAATCTAAGAATGGTTACAGACTCCTCGGGAAGGTATGCGATCTAAAGACAGTTATTGCTTAGTCTGAAGAAGTAATAAACAATAATGCAATCAACGCGTAGAAAGGGTTATGAATGGTTTAGCCCGCAGTCAATAGAGAGTAAAAGTGCTCAAGTGCCCTGACTCAACTAGTCTCAACATAATAATAATAATAATATCAGATATCTAAGTGTAGACGTATTAAAAAAAAACTGCTAAAAAATACTCGAGAGTTTTTTACTCTTAAATTCTTTGGGTTATATATGACTCCAGTGCAAAAATGGAAAATTATGTGTTAGATTTATGTACGTGATGTTATCAAAAACTATTCGAGAATTATTGTATTCTTTTTGATTCAATGGCATGTCAGCATACTGTAGTTTCCAGTTTGAGAAACAAATACTGAAACGCCTTTTTTGTATAAACTTAAACTCATTTTGCAGGTTCATTTTTTTTTTTTTTGAGTTGGAAGTTGCCAAATATGAGGTCCTATTCTTCTTACGCCATTACAGTGATTTTTATATATATCCACGAACAGTTTTTGCCGTCAATTGTTTCATATCCAAAACACTCAGAATAATCGTCTCGCATAAACCGAGACGATAGTAATTGATAGACGTGTTAGAACGCTTAGCCCTCACGTCATATTCAGGCGTGTTCTTGTAAAATGGATGATATTTGTTATCCAAACTGTTACAAAAAATTGACATAATATGGACAACTTTTATATTTTATGCTTTTATTTAATAAGTTTACAAGTGAAATGTTTGATTCATAATCTAGTCATGAATGATATTATATTTAGTTTTCCAGATTTTGTACTTCATCTGAGTCATTAGTATTCAGAAGTGCTATAGGCTTCTTGAAATGAGCTTCAAAAGCGAGTGATAACTTCATGTCACGTTCGCTATCAATTAGATTTATAGCTATACCATGCTTGCCTTAAAAATAAGAAACAATATATTATGAGAAATTTAAAATTATATATGATAGTTAAAGGACAAAAAAATTTACCGAATCTTCCGGTACGACCAATGCGATGCAAGTACGTATCGTAGTCGGGATATCCACTACCATGCAGAGTTGGCATATGGAAGTTTACAACTATTGTTACCTGTGAGACATCAATGCCTGTGAGTGTAAATATATATAAAACAAAATATTAGATTTTTCATTGAATCTTTAAAGGTTTATCATATTAGTTTTAGAAATATTCGAGGTATTATGTATTGTACATTCCTCTTAGAAAGCGACATTGTAAATATTCTTATAATCTCTACTATATTTTCGTATGATGAGGATAAAATAGTATTCATTTAAAAAATATAAACCGTATTCCACAACTTCAAGATGTTTATTCGAATTGGGATAATTTTTTTTCAATAAGACTATAATTCCAGGAATGCAGAACAATTTTTTAATGTGGTAAAGAAACCACGTTATTTTTAAGGGAAATTAATTGTTTTAATTCAAAGTAAAGGCCATTGGCTTCTATACATTTCGCGCATCTTTCAGCTAATTTATGAGTACTTATCAGAAAGACTGCTAGTCTTTTGTGACAAACCATTCGTCAAGCTATTTTCCAACTTCCTTGAAATTACTGAAGTGCTGTTCTGTGACTGTGTGTCCCATTAATGTAAGAAAGTAATAGGCAGGGGGCGCTAGGTCTGTGCTGAACGGCGGATGCAAACGGATGTCCCATCTAAGCGAGATATCTTTCACTGGTTTTGCCTTGTGAGACGGCGCATTGTCTTGTGCCAAAATCACTTTGCATTACCTTTTCTTTTTTTACCGGGCTTAAAGAGTTTATAATTTACAATACTGCTCTAGTCCCATTAAACACAAAGCATGGTATTCGTGCCGAAGCGATTGGGGATTGGTGTTGAAGGACCAGCTTCGCGAAGTGAAAATCACAATTACTTTCGCTTGAGGTTTTCAAAATGGATTTACTTTTCTGCAGCCAAAAGTGAATTTAATGCAAAAATGAGTTAGTGTACGATTTTTCAAGACACTTATGCTTACATCTGGTATATCTATCAATGTCCAAATCTGGTAAGACTATATTAAGAAAACTGCTGGACAAACTTAACGTAACCGATATTTATTATTTATCAATCGTTACTTGTAGTTCTTGAGCAAAACCAAAGATACCAATGGGGTACATACCATATTTCCACTTGTCTTATTTAGACAGTTTGACTCATTAAAGAGCACACAAAGAGCTTTCATATAAATTAGCTCATTATAAATAAATCAACTGACTTAATACGAAAAATGTATATGTATATATTTTATATATAAAATGTCAACAAACAAGCTATCTGAATGGATAAATCAGCTTATGCTAATATAAACAACCAAATAATAATTTTATTAACATAATTAGTTTTAGCTGCAATATGATATATGGTTCTCTAAATTTGTTTCCATCATTTGAATTCTATACCCACTCTTATATCAAAATGTTATTATGAACTATTAATTTTTTATTTCTGTATTAGTTTTATTATTCACATATACCTATATGAAAATGTAACTGCAATGCTTGTTATATATGGCACTGTTAATTGTCACTTACCTCGTGATAAGACATTAGTAGTCACCAAAACTTTCTCAAGCCCTGCTCTAAAACGATCTAAAATACCAAGTCGTTCTTCAACATTTAATTCGCCTGAGAGTACAGCAACAGAGTGTCCATCGTTAATCAATTTTTTTGATAGCCAAGCAGCACTTTTGCGAGTCTAAGATTTATTTTTTATATTATGAAATTTATTATTTATAATTGTAAAGATTTTATACATACATTGCAAAAAATAATTGCTTGACCGATTGTTATACCTCCATAAATATTTTGAATTGATGAATATTTTGATTCCTCGCCTCTGCACATAACATAATACTGCTTGATATTATCAAGACATTCTTGTTCCCTTGGCAATCTACAAACATATTTCTTTTACTATTAAAATTATTATCAATTGCTTTATAAACCTTATAATGGTTGGATCAGCCACCATGAATTTTACAAAATGAAGCACTTCTTCATCATATGTCGCCGAAAAGAAAATCATTTGACAACTTGTCGCAAGGTTTCTAAAAATATGAAATAAGTTTTATAAGAACAGGATTAACATAATAATTAATATTAATACCTATGAATACGAATACATTGATCATGATGACCTTGGGTAGATACCATGGTATCAGCTTCATCCAAAACAAAAACACGAATCTTGCTGAGATCAAAACTTTTGTATTTAATTCCCCAATCCATTATTTTTCCTGGAGTTCCAATAATAATATGTTGGGTCACTTGACATGAAGGTGGCACTAAGTGAGAAGAAATTATGCATTCGGATTATGATTATTGTTTTATCGTATTTAGAACTATAATAATATGGAACTATCATTTACATAGATCCATATATTGACGACAGCGCACATGAAAATAATGATAACCATTAGTAAAGAACTATTAATGCATACAAATATACAGCGAACACATTAGTTATGGATTTCTACTTATAATTTTAACGGAAATAACAGAGTTTCGAAATTATTTAAAGATGGCCTAAATCGATGGCCCTAAAAAGTTCATACTTTAAGAGTAACTAAAGAATTTTATGCAGCTTTTTCTTTTGAAGTCCATGTTTTTACTAGACCGGATATTTGAAGTCCACCCTGTTTTATAAATGCATATGTGATGGAATTATGAAATTTATTTCTCTATTTCTTTGTTAGTTAATAGTACTGTTGCGTGGATTTCGTCCTCTTATTAAGAGAAGTAATACATGCTATGGAAATAATGATATGATATTGTAAAAAAATAATATAATAACGTTAAGGTAATCCGATGAGATGCACCAATTTTGTGAAATAAATTATTGACTCGTCTTTTATTCGATTTCTATGAATTATAAATAAATAATTAATTAATTAATTCAATTATTCTACAGCTGGTTTATGATTTCGTTCTAATATATAAATACAGCAAGTAAAATTGTTAATAACAAAACTCCAGCAAAAATATGCGAACAAAAAAGTCAAGTACGGCTTTGGATCAGTTGGTTAAGGTGCGCTGATTCTGAGCTTCACATTTGGCAGGACCCGAGTTCGATTCCTGGTACGTGCAGTCTCAAAAATAATTATTTACGAATAATTAAATAAAAGAATTATTTCCAAGACCACTGATGAAGGGTATTTGGCAATACTCGAAACAGCTGTATGGTCAGCCAAAAATTCAATTAATTAAAATAATTTAAAAAATAAATTTTTGTTGTTGTTTCACTTCTGTTCGAAAACCTCTTTATGAATTATAAATGCAATATATTATAAATCTAAATGAGCAAGGAACTTAAATGTTCTGCATATTATAGTAAAATAATCCATCATGTACTAATAGTACTCACCCCATATTTACCAATTTAAAAGATTCTAATCAAAACTTGTAACATTACCCAACTTTACACTATGATATGTGATTTAGAATCAAATCTAACGCATTTATTTTCATATGAATACTGGATATATTTTATTCATATAATTCTGAATTTACTTACTGTGCTCTCCACTGACTGCATATATCATGGTGATGTTCTTCATATATAAAGCCAATTTAGCACATATCTCCCCAGTTTGGATTGCAAGCTCATATGTTGGGCACAAGCAAATAACCTTTGAATTAAACAATTTATATTAAAATATAAAAAAAGTGAAGAAAACGTTATTGTTTTTATATGGTCAATTTCGTAGGTGAGAGGAACAAATAACTGAATGAGGCAATGTACACTACTCCCATAAATAAGATACATTAATTCCGGTAATATGTGTTTATTTATTTGCACGCAGTCGTCTGTTCCAATTGAAACCAAATTACAAATAATATTTTTTTAACTACTGATCCGTTCTTATTAAGAGAAAATGTGTCTCTTCCCCGTATGTCATTATTGCTGCATATGCTAATGCAATTGTGCTGCTATACAAACACGTTCCAAGCTAGACAATACTGATATAATCGAACTCGAGAAATATTTTTAGACCAGTCATCAACTCTAATTTTAATTAGATAGACTATCCGTATCTTTAAAAGATAAGATTTTATCTTATAAATATTATTTTATTAGCACTTAAAGTACTAGCAATCGTAACTCCATCTGGTTATGACCATCTCTAAGACGACTTCCAGTACTTGATGTTTGCATTAAAAGCTAAGTTTAATCCTAAGCAAGAATCACATTTTAAATTAAATTATTGTTATTGCTCAAGGAAGTTCGTCTATAACACGAGTTATTTTTTAGAATCTAACTTTAATTGTTTTCATAATAAATTCGACAACAAACAATTTAAAAATAAAAACAATTTTAATAAAATCGTATTTTTAATGTACCTGAGGATGATCTAGATCTTTATTCACACGTGTAAGCATTGCCAAAACGAAAGCTGCTGTCTTCCCGGTTCCTGATTGACTTTGAGCGACTAAGTTTAATGGTGGATCTGCCAACAAAAGTGGTAATGCATTTGCTTGTATTTTTGAAGGTCTATTAAATCCAGCGGCGTAAACTGCTTTTAGTAAATCCGGTTCCCTATATAAATAGATGCATTTCAATAAGTATAAGATATTCAAAAGAACTCAAATTACATACATATGAATGTCTTCAAATCTTTTAATAGAAACAAGTGGCGAATTGGGGTCATCTTCATCAGTCCCACTATTCATTAGTTCATTCAATTTTTCCTTGACATAATGTACCAACTTACGACTTCTTAAAATATTATTTTATATTAAAATATATTTCATTTACTTTTGTAATAACAGCTGTTATATATAAGAACATACATATATTCGAATAAACGATAATAATAATTTAATCTAATATAAATTTTCGTATAATATTTTACACTTTAGAGTACTTTAAAGGGTCCAGCATAGTTCCATATCAGCCCCTTTGTGTTGTATCAATTTAGGGCGATAATGGCGCGTATCCAATTCATTAACAGACTTCACATTTATTACAATTAGCCTTACCAAATATATATCAAAGTTCCAATTTTATCTTTGTTATCTGTTTGTTTAGTTATATTTCTTAGAATCATGACACACATTGAAATAAAAAATAGTTAAAAGTAGCGCATGATTATCCATGCCGAAAGTCAAAATGCAAATTATTAAAATATATAAATACAGGAGCCGCTCCTGTCTTCAAACTATAATTTTCTTATTCTTATTTATTAAACAATAGGCAAAGCACTATATACTTACTTAGCGAATGTATCTTTCTTTGGCGATTTGTCCATTTTTCGTAACTAACTACGATGTCCGCCTATCCTGTATAAATTCTTTCTCGAAAGTTATCGACTAAAATGCCAGAACAAAAAAATAACAATTAGAAAGCGATATATGAGGGTTCTGAGTGGACGTAATAATAAAGTGGACGTTAAAGTTTTTGATCTTTACAAATTGCTCTATTGCATTAATTTTACGATTTAGATCATCTTCTAATAAACCACATTAAAACAGAGTTCGGAATGTGGTGCACAAAATCGCACACTGCACTGTGCGAGTGGAAATTATTTTTAAAATATGCACACGCACATTTGTGGTGTTAAGAAAAAAAATGCACGCACTCAAATTTGTTGTGCGATTTTAAATTTCACATCGCACAAAGCGATGATTGTGCACACAGATTCGTGCACACACATTTGTGCTGTGTGACTGATTTTTAAAAATGTGCACAATCAGATGTGCGAGAAAATTTTATGCTCGCACCGCACTGTGCGACAAAAAATTCTCTTTGCACACGAGTGTGCTGCTCATATTACGTTTGCACAAATGTGCACAAATGTGCGACTGCACAAACGTGCACAAATGTGCACAAATGTGCGATGCACAAACGTGCACAAATGTGCGATTTTGCGCTTGCACCCAAGGGTGGAAAAAATTACAGGAACTTCACAATTTTGTTTGAAATAGAAAATATTATTTTGTTGCAAATTTTGAAAAAATTGATATTTGCGTTCGTTGGGATCGTAATTTATGTTAAAAATTGCATAAATTAACAAATATTTAAAATAATTATTTTTGTTAATTAATGTAAACTAAAAATTATAACTGTCTTAACCTTATTTGTATTTTAACTTAAAATATTAGTTTTTTGTATATTACTTTGTGCATTTTTAAATGCAAATATAGTAAGTGAACTTAAAGTATTTGTTTGGAAAGTTTTGCACCAGTTTAAAAAAAATAAAAACATATTTTAGGAAGATTTTTTTATGCCCAAAAAATATGAAAGATTAGGAAAATATTTTTTTTGAACAGGTAGCAGGTATTGGTATTGGTGTATTTGTTTAATAAATTTTGCAACAGTTTAAAAAAGATAATACGGGAGGGCCACAAATAGATATTTTTCTTCTCCAGAAATATGTATTCACTTAGGTAGAGTATCTAACATTCATTAAAAAACGCGAAAGATTAGGAAAATATTTTCTTGAACAGGTAGCAGGATTTTAGCGCCCTTTCTACTGTGCTAAGTAAGCAGAGATATAATTTAAGTGAAAAAAATATTTCAGCAATGTTATTAATAAGATTAAATGAAAATTTATTTCAAAAAATATGTAATAAAAATTATATATTTTTTAATAAGAAATTAAGATATTAAATTATAAAATTATTTCAATAACTTTGTTAAATTTAAGCTGTAATTAAAGATAAAAAATTAAGTGAAATCTAATAACAAAATTAATTTATGTTGTTGTAAAAAATATTTAATTTGCTTTTTATAACCTTACTAACGAATCTTAGTGTACAACTTACTATTAAATAAAATTTTATGAAGTAGTCCAAAATTGATATATTTAATTTTTTCAAAGTACGATCCGTAGAACCGATCCTCTTTACTTATAACATTTCGAAACAAATACTCTTTCTCTATTAAATTCATGTACCTATTTAATATAACAAAGTTTTCAAGTACATTGTGAAATTAACTTTATTCCCATGTTTTAAATTAATAAACCTTAAAAAAATAAGTAATATAAGCAATAAATGTAAATCTAATAATAAATTCAAAATTAAAATATAAATACAAAATTATTTCTTCAATAAAATATTTCGCATTAAGACCAAAATTAATACAAATCAGTTTTCCGTACTATTTTGCTGCGATATTTCTCATAATATTGTGCGCTTTTAAATCATCATTTTACACAAACGTGCAGTAGACATTTCGTCTCCGCACATTTGGGTGCATTTTTATTTTCGAGCCTGCACACAAAATGTGCTTCTCGTATTCTTTTCTGCACACGTTGTGTGCGAGGGCAAGTTGGCTGCCGCACACACAATGTGCTGTGCGAAATAACTTCGGCACAAACACCGAATGCGTGTGCGAGTTTTATTTCACTCCACCACATTCGTGTGAAATGTGCGTTTTGTTTGTGCACACAAGATGTGGCACTTAAGATGTGCACAAAAATTTTCGCACGTGAAATTTTATTTAGAATCGCACAACATTTGTGCGTGGTGTTTTGCATTTTTGTGCACAGCACAGTGTTTTTCTGAACCCTGCATTAAAATAAAAGGAAATTTGAATGGTTTCTAATTATCGGAAGTTCCAACTCGCTCCATAATGAATTTTTTTTAATAAATATTAATCTTAATAAATCTATGTATACAGCCATGATAGAAATGAATATATTGCAAATACTTATAATTAATGCTTCTTAAATATTCTGCCATATTTTTATATATTTTAAAAACTATGTGTAGTATAAGCTTACATATTTATATAATATAATTTAAAACATACAAATATTTGTAAGGAAAAATATACTTAATATAGGTCAACATCTCGTTTGTTCAAGTTGCAAAGTCGATATTTTTAATCGTGTATAATACTAACACCAATATGATCCATTAGAAGTATTAAGGTATGTTTGAGAACATTGTACCAATATGATCCATTAGAATTATTAAGATATGTTTGAGAATGAAAAAATCAAACATTTTAGGTATATATCTTTTTGTGAAATTACGATATTTTCTACTTAACACATTGTTGTCCTCTGATAACTTTTTTAGTATTATCAGCTGATTCTGATTGATGTGATATATTGCATAAAAATTACCTTTTAGCCATATTACACAGATAATCATGTTTTCATCTTGTTTTTAATATATATTAAAAAAAAGAACAGGAAAAAAATATTAGATTATAATTTGATCACGGTAACAAGGTTTTCTGGCTCATAACATTGTTCAAAACTATATTTCTCGGTATAATTTGCACCTATTAGAAGTAAATATATGTATTTTTCTATGGATTTATAAGTTAAGGTTTAAATAAAAGTATAAAAATAGTTGTTAAAGTATAAAATTGACAATTGTGATATGATTCTCTGTATAAAATGCCTTCTGGTCATGACCAGAAATAACCTAAAACTGCCGTATTCGTCATATGGCTGCCTGTATGACATATTAGTAGTAACATGTAGTAACATATTAATACCGATAAATCAAGTCTGTTCACTGTTTCGGTGTTCAGTAAAACATGATTTGGCTCTTGTTATAGCAAGGGCAGGATGTAAACTTTCAATTTTTGTTTTTGATAAGAGAATAAATAAGGAAATATTGATAGAATTAAAAAGTTAAGTTAAATTTATAAGTATAAATAAAAAAAAGTATTATTAAGTTTACTTTAATTTTATACTTATTTCTTCAGCTTTTTCTTGCCATATTCTTGCGTTTCATACAATAAAAAAAAATTAAGGAAAACAGCTGTTTAGGCAGTTAACTTCACAACTCTCCAAATCATGTTTACACTGCTACTAAAACTATTTATGTTAATAGAATTAAGATTTGTTCGATTCAATTATGCATGTGAAATAGCTTGTTTTTTCTCCTTTTACATATTAAACATGTAACATATATTAATTTCAAATTTTAGTGATATCCAGTGTAAAAAATTTATCTTTAAGGATTGCATTCGACATTTGTCGCCTAAAACAGTTGATTTATTAATAATAAGCTCATTTATATGAAACCTCTTTGTATGGTATTTCACCTTCATTAGCGGCCTCAATGTGCAAAACTGCTTAAATGAATCAGTAGAAACATGGTTTAAACGTTCTTCATATAAAGTAAAATATCTACAATATCAAAAATGTGTAGAATGTTCGTATTTGATTTCACTGAAAAAGTATTAAGAAGGAGTATTCAGCCGTTTGTCATTTTATCACTTCACCAAATAATGTATCACTGAGTAACTCATAGTTTAAATGTCCCTATTAAGTTTAAAATTTGAAGTGTGTAAAAATATAGAAAAAAATAAGTAATTAAAAATTTGTAGACAAAAATTTGTAGGTGTAGACAATATCTCCACATCACAGGTATAAAAACTAATCCTGTCAAAAAGCACTAAAGTTTTATTGCAAATTTTTTAATCTAGATTTGTATGCAATCTGTAACGAATGTCATGAGTCCTGCCTATTTACTAAATTTTACTTATATTTGATTGTGTAATAAAAATACTTCACTCATAACTGAACTGAAGGTATTTTATGAACAGAATGTAATATTTAATTTAGTGGTTGCTATATATACATTTGTTGTAATTATACTTGCTGATATAGTCAAATTTGATTGAGTCTCAGTAAGACTTTCCCACACTATCCAAAGTTACCACTTAAAGTATTGCTGAACTCTGAAACTTTAGAGAAATCCGCAAGCTGCAATCTCGAGGGTAATTTATGGAAATGCCATGAACTTGTGAAGAAGTAAAGTGTTGATGGAGTAAGGAAACCTTTTATCAGCCGCAGGTAACACCAGAAGAAAAGTGAACATACAAATTTTTCAAACTTTCCAAGTCTGGAACAGTGTTAAGGACTTTAACTTGTTCGCAATTTGATTGTATGTATGTAGTTGAGCAGAAAAAAGTTTTTACTTGTATATTTGCTGTATTTTATCGTTTTTACTTAATACAAGTACGTTCTACATATTGCATAAAAACTTTAGAATTACGTATACAAATTACGAACGAAACTTGACTATTCTATTTTCATATTTTCCAACATAATAAAGCATAAACATAAAGAAATTTATATAGTCAAATATTATAATACATATGCTTTCCTTATTTATAAATCTAGTAGTATATATTGCTTAAGCACATATTGCTTACTAATGTTGTTGCAGGGTTAAAAGAAAGGTCTGTGTACTGATTTCGTCTCTCAAGTGGTATTTATTCCATGTGATCTTTAAGATAACTCAACACATTTAAACTTTTTGACTCTTAAAATCTTGCTGCACCAAATCTTAATCATAAAGTTCTGATTTTCTTTTTAACAAAATCGCATTTGTCACTAATAATACATTCATACTGTCTCATTTAGGCACTTACTCATTTATATTATTGAGTGAACGTTCACATTATAATGGGATCATTTATCTAGCTAATAGATTAGATTTGATTAGCTGATAGACCTTTTATATACAATAAATTAACTTCTCTTTATAATATATCACACAAGAAAATTAAATACATGATTGATATATTAAGTCATTTATATTCATCTTATAAATCGATTATATATTCAATTAATAAAAACAAAGATTTTATTAAATACTTACTCCTTCAGTGCGTTTGTTTACAGCTCAGCTGTTGTTTGTTTATATTTTACATACAAAACATGTGACAAATATTTTAAATTTTGGTAATTTCTCCTGTGGTGATCTTTCTCTTTTAAGGGTTGCATTCGAAATTTTTAGCCTTAAATAAACTAATTTATTGATAATGATCTCATTTACATGAAAGCTCTTTGTATGGTAAATCATATTCATTAGTGGCTATGAGCAAAATCACCTAAATGAGAAAGTGTGAATTTGCTACAGCTATGACTTAACAATTTATGTAATATTATATTAATATATTCGTATGAAGTATAAAGTATCCATCATTCCCTTTGTCCACTGCATCAAAAAATTATTATCAAATTTTCTTCTACTTGGTTTTGTTTCTTGCTTTCAATCGTTCACATTGATATATTCTTAATTTAATTTATTCTGAAATTATTTTTGTGAACATTTGTACCTTCCAATTTATAGGTATATCCTTATTCCATTTCTTTTTTATTCTATTTTTATTGTAATTGAAATGGTTTGTCATATTTATATAACCATTAATCACATATGAATGTTTACTGAAATGTTCAAATTCGCTTGTGTTTGCGGCAGAACATTATCACATTTAACGGGTTTTTGACATTTATCTTGATAAGTGTGTGACATTTACCATACAAAATTCATTCAAAAGTGTGCGAGTTTTTTATTTCGCAATATGTCGGCACTTTTAAAAATGAGCTCTCAATGGAAATAGTAACTTGTCAAACTTCTCTGGAAGAATGGCTTAAATGCTCAGTTATAATATTTTTAATGTAGATGAAAATCTTATGGCTAATAATAATAAATTCACTTCTTATTGCACTTAATCAAATAGGAGTAAAAACGGTAACATATACCGATGATATAGTCCTTTCAGTAATAACTTTGTTCGATTCATTTCTAAAGCTAGTGTTGAAAAATGAATTCCCATAAAAAAATATATGTAGTAGCGCTGGAGGCTGAGTTAGTAAGCTTAATGTGTTAAATCACTGGTCCAGAAGTAAAATAGGACTCACAAGTATACTAAGAATTTGTTATCCCCTAGTTCTATATGTGTTCTTACCCGAACCTCGTTGAATTTGGCTCTGCCAAAAATTTATAAAATTGTAAGATTATTTCATTTTCAATTTTAAAGAGTGAGTCGCACTCATTTTCAAAGAGAAAATGTTTAAACTACAGGTTTCTGACTTTAAGGTCCTACAAGTTTTACATTCAGACAGTCTCTCATTGTTTATGCTTCAGTGAGCTTTAGCTTTAGTGCACAAGTCTGCCACTCTAATATAATCTAACCTAAAATCTGAAGCAGCAGCTATATATAGCTCTTTAGAAATTTACGCTATGCTTTAACAAATTCATACGTATGTATATATTAGTATGGTGATCTTCTTTAATAAACAGTACATAACCAAAAAGCTTATCCAGACCCACACGTAAGCATATGGTCGCAATAATATTTAAATCACAAAATCTACATTATAAAAATTAGGTATATACATTCAAACCTCTCCCAAAAATATATGAGGAATTTGAAATCAAAAAATATAAGGTTCCAATAGCATATTATATTTTATATATAAAAATATTATTATTACGTGATAAAATTATTTCTTTTCACTCTTACAAGCACATAATATTGATCGATGAAATATATTATTAAATGTAATGATAATTGCGTCACAAATGAAATTATATATGTACACGGATAAATGTATAGTCAAATATTAAAAAATTAATCATTTTATAACAGATTTCAAATTTTTAAATAAATAACGTAATCCATTTCAATCACGTGAAACGTAACTGTTCAAATATGGCAGATGGCGTTTATAACGCCAAAACATTTTTGTGTTTTACAACACTGTGTGTTAGTAGATTTGTTTTTCCTGTAAACATAAAAGTGCGCTGAATTTCACAAACAAATATAAGAGAAGATTTTTTAAATAGTATTAAGCAATATGCCGAAAGAAGATTGCAAGTATTGGGATAAATGTTATCAGAAAAATGAATATCATTTGTCAAAATATAATCATCCGAAAAATGTTCCAGTTGATGTAGCCGGAGGTTCCACTGCCGAGTCAAATTCTAACAAGGATGCATCCCACGCAAAAATGGAATCTAAAGATACTTCAACTGAATGTTTGAACAAAAAACGCAAAACTAGCGATGACGCAGTAAAGGATGTAGTGGCAGAAAATGTTACAGCTGATAAGGACAATGATAAATATGAAACCCGCGACCTACGAACTGAAGCACTCAATAATATTGCTGGCAAAAACTATATGGAAATACTGGAGAAACGCATAAAATTCTCAGTCGAAAAAGAATACGAAGAACTTTTGCGTTCAACTGAATTTATTCGACACAAATTTTTAGTAGAAATGCCACCAGATTTCTACGCATTTTGGAATTTTGTACAAGAATTGAAGAAAAATGCTACAGGTGAGGAAATTCTGCAGTATATGGAGAAGCAGTTTCAGATACAACTAGTGGGTCCATTTGAATTCCTTGCTGGACGTTTCAAAAATGCAAAAATACAAGAACCTGGAGATTATTTACGACATTGGCGTTTCTTTTATGATCCACCGGAGTTTCAAACAATTTTTGTTCGCAGTAAGACTGGTGTGCATTATGGTTACTGGCGTGATACACCTAAAGATAAAAAGGAATTATTAATAGCACGTAATGATGCGCGGGAAAACTGTGAATTTCAATTCATAGCCGGCAATGCTTTTGATGCATTTTTATATTTCTTACAAAAGGATTTTGTAGGCACACCATTTACAGCAGCTACTGTCGCAAATACAAAGAAAATGTTAACTGCTTTTACAAGTGAGCTGGACTGTAAATTAGAGAAATTGGAAACGTTAAGCAATGCACGACAAAAGAAAGTTGTGACGAAGTCATTTCACCGGGCAGGCATAGTTGTCCCTTTTGACCACAAAACTAAGCTGGGTTATCGACCACTTATGACCAGTAATGCAGAGCTAAAGAAAATTTTACAATTGTTTGTAACCGCAGGTCAACCGGAAAACGATAAGGATATTAAGTCTGTAGTTATGGAAAAATTACAACCATTGGCAAATGCTGCACTAATAGCCGTGGATGAGTGTGATTTCGGCACAGCTTTAGAACTAGGAATTGATTTATTTTGCAGTGGTCGCTCAGAGTTGCACTTATTGGCGAAATCACTACTAGTACCTGCTTACTCTAACTTAGACAGACCTCAGTTTATTGCAATTGCAAAAGCGCATATGGAAGAACGCAGCAAAAATTTAAATCTGAGCATGTTTGATTAATAATTGAAATATTTTTTTTTATTGTAATAAAGTATTGAAATATATATTTATATAATAAATTTTGTTAATATTAATCAAACTAATTAACCAAAAATAAAAGTCACGGTTTCTATTGTGTACCACCACCAATTTTGGAATATTATTAGGAATAACATGAAGATACATCCGTAAAATTATAGAAAGTGCTGCACGATAAACCCAATTGTTGCAGTAATTTTGCGATTGGTTCAACTGAAACGACGTCCACCTTTCCTTTGTGTGTATACGCAACATATGAACTCACTGCAAGCGATTTGTTACTGCACCAAGATGCAACTAAAAATTTAAGATGAATTAAACAAAATATAAAAAAATATAATTTCACTTACTGCCAGCAACCACTCCAGTTATAAAGTTAGGTGGCTGTAACTCCTCTATACCTTGCAGTTTCGAATTAATACCTAACAAAGATGATTCTTTGCTAATATCGCCTAAATCCTCACTTTTGTAGTAAATTTTATTTGTTATAGTTAGTGTGACCACCTGTTGTGCTTTTTGTGCATATGGCAGCAGTAGTTCAGTAATTTCGCCACTATTTGTGAGATCTTTCTCCAATGCAGCAACTAGAATATTTTTCTCTTTTAATTTGTAAAGCCATGATTTACTTTCCACGGTCGGTATTGAGCAAATCTTTTCGGTTGTGTCAAGTAAGACACTTTCAATAAGTTTAACTGCATCCAAACCTTCAACTATAAGAAACAATTGACTATCTACTGCTTTCTCTGGCTGGCCAGCTTCAAATGTTAATTGTAATCTTTAAATAAAATTAGATTAATACACTAAAGAAATTCTATGTATATAGTTAACAATACTTTGTGGTATTTTCCTGTGCCGGTTCATCTTCATCACAATCCCAATAAGCACTGGATGATGGTATATTAACTTCTCCGAAATCCATCAAACAACTCATATTGAATATATATCAAATTATAAGAGTAACGGAGGAACACTTTAAAGTCTTACAAATAAATTATTTTTACTAGTCATTGAAACCGCAGAAGAAATGTCATTGGGTATGTTCAATCAAAGATAGAGCTTAAAAATTGAAAGTTGAATTTTACTTAAGGTGGATTCAACATTTTAATTAATAAATTAAATTATTATTTATCGGTTTCCCGGTTTCCCTGAAATATTCGAAAAATATTTTAATAATATATAATTTGTTTTTAAATATAAATAATAAATTAAAATTTTATTTATTTCTATTTAAATGACCAATTAGTCCGCTAATAAATTAATATATAATATTTTTGGTCACAAGTAAAACATTAAAATATAAGGAAATCAATTCAATTAAAATGATAAAAATGATTAAAAAGTATCAAACATATTTTTTTTGTTTTCTTATATAGAAGGAGTGGGGAATATAAAAGGATTTAGAGATATAATCCCGAACAATATATTTTCTAATATTTTGCAGTAAATATAAATAATATCTAATTAAATAATCAAATTAATATCTTAATATGAATAAATGAATAAAAAAGTATTTGCATATCATCTAAATTCAATAATAATAGGTAAAATAATAATAGCAAGCAGAAAAGAAGTATTAGAAATATTTTAAATTAATTCATTTTACTTTATTTTAATTAATTAATAAATAATACATGAAACTGAATTTTTTGAGCATATTTTGTCTAAATGCAATTATTTCTTGATTTAAAAGTAATATTTTATAAAATTTAATTATAGTAGTTAAAAATATTGTACACCTATAATAAATTATTAATAAATAGAAGCACATAACAGATATAATGACTATAAGTCATAATAGGTTGTACCCAACCTACGTTTATAGATAAGTTGTAAAAGGCCTAACCTCCTCATATTTTATTTTATTAATAATTCTGGAAAAGATGTATTATATATGGTGTGAATTGATGCAAAGATTTTAGAAGCTTAAAAAATATTTTTAAACTTTACTTTTATATAACCCCGAGTTGAACAGATTGTAGAATTGTGCCACCAATCTAATACAACTTTTATTCTGTGCATAAATTATTAATACTTTATTTCGACTTATATATGTATTTCACCAAATACATATATACACAACTTTCTCAAATCGTATATGATTGAAATATCTAAAATTGCCAAATTAACTTAAATTTTTAAATGTATAATCCTTACATTTCGTCAAGTCGAAATCACACCTAAATTGTTGTATGAAATACATATATTAAAAAAATAATTAATTAATATAAGATCGCAAATCGTAAATTCCTTGTTGTTGTTGTAGCCCGCGGGATTGTAGAGACCCTATGGGGGAAGTGAATGGCACTTGGTCATCGAAATTGACGAGTGGCTCTGCGACGTGACTCGGCTCTTCTTGAAACCATAAGTTACCAGTTCCTTATTTACTTATTATTTATATATTATGTCTTTTCGGTATTAAACAATGAATATTGGTGTAGTATTAAAATAATGCATTAAAATACAAAAACAATTTACAGTTTTATAATTTTGTTATTATAATTCAATTAATGAATGCATACTTTATGAGACATTTTACTTCTTGTATACAGAAAAATAAACAAAAAAAATGTGAAACACTTAATTTAATCATCAAATGAAGCGACTCCCAATACTGAATGAATGCATTCCTCTTTATTGATGAGATGACAAGTTTTGTTTACCAGCGACATTAATTCACTGACATCACTAGCCCAATGGTTAAGAACATCTGAGGGACTCTTCTTTGTAGTGAAGTATACGATTTCCGCAGGACGATCAATCTTTACACGTATTGTATCAGAATTTGCTAACTTCGATAAATAATCTTCAACACGATCGGAGGGTAAATTTAGCAGTTCACTCATACGCTTCAGGTGAATACGTGAATAATAACTGGCAATAATTCGTATATTCTGTAGTGAATTTAGAATTTTAGTTTAGTGAGTTTGTTGAACATAAAACTTTTTGCATAGCAATATAAAATTTACTTACATGCTCCATTAAGCGATCTTTTAATTCAGTGACGCACTTGCGACCATGTTTTGTATTATCTTGAAACATTTCATTTTCAGCTAAAACTTTACCAAAATCCGCATTAAAAGTATCGAAATTAATAAGCTCTTTAGACATAAATAAACGCAATATTTCCTTGTAGACAGGTATATCTTCTAGTTTTTTATTTTGTGACAGATGATTCATCATATCGAATTGTTCATTGTCGTAAGGTGCCAGCACACAGTACAACACGGCACAAGTTAACTTTTCCTTATATTCTTTTTCCTGTTCTGGTGTTAGTTCAATAGGTTCCTTAATTTCCTCCACCTCCTTCGTTTCCTTCTTTTTGTCATCATCGCTAGATTTCTTTTTGTCTTTGTCGGTCTCCATTGGCTCAACTTCAGCCGGTTTTGGACGCGCTGGCTCAGCGATTGATTGATAATGACGTGAGGTTTTCAAAAATGATGTATCACGATCTAAACGTATCATTAAATTGTAAAATTTCAACTTTAAATCATGTTGGGCAGGATCGTCAAAGAATTTAATGCTGATTTTTTTAGCAATTATCTGAGTTGATACAAAGTCTTCCTTCAACAAGCAGAGACGCATTTGCTCCAAAATGAGTTCCACCTGCAATTAAGAAAGTTATAGTATATTTTATATAAAAATTTTGCAATTTATTGAGAAAAAAACGCTAATAACCGATCTTCCTCTTATGAATTACTTATGAGTTACTGTTTCATATGAAAAGAATTGGTGTGAATGAAAATTTTGCAATTTGCAATTTTTTTTTATGTTTATATGCCATCTCCATCTTTATTCTTAAGTACTTCCGAACTAAGGTTTTAGTAGATTATATTTAACTTATGTTATATTATAATATCAATATGAGGTACTAATCATAATTGTTATATATCTTGAAAGTGTGAACTTACTTAACTACAAGAGACTTGATATTTATACATATGTATAAAAATGGTTGGATTCACGTTCATTCAAATAAATATTAATATAATAATTAAATACATTTCTTTACCTTTTCACGTTTATCCATTGAACCATAAGTTTCCACCTGCAGTTCTTCCATAACAGCAGCAGCACCAGCAATATCTCCATCCGCTTCCTTGATATCAGCTAATATTTTGGTTAGTCGTGCACGTTCAATCTCCACGTAAATTTTACCTTCCGTTACAGAGCGCAGAGTATCGATCAACTTCATCTTAGTTTCTTTGTCTGGGGTTTTATCTACATAAGTACAACATTCCTGTACCATTTTGGACACAGCTTGCTTCAACTGTGAACGACGACGAACTAATAGAGAGATGTATTCATTTAATGAATTCCAATTTTGAGTATCATAACAAATCTGGCAAATTGCTACCAGAACTCTGGAGCATGACACCATATCAGCACCCTATAAACAAAGGCAAAACAGGTATTCGTCTATCGAAAATAAAAACAAATTCAATTTAACATACCAAACGTGTCTGCTTTTCTAATTGCAAGAGAATATCTATTGCTTCGTGAAAAGAATCTGGGTTATTTTTTACCATATCTTTTGCGCGTGGAATTTTTTCATCACAGGTAGGTGAGTAGTCCACCTCCATTTTGGTAATGCGACCGCCATCAAAAATATAATTGTCCATATTGTAGATTTATTTGTACTTAAAAGTATTTTACCAAATCTTTACAAAAGTATAATACAAAAACAGTACGTATTTATCTCGTAAAACACAGAATTCAGATCAAAAGTGCGGCTTCTCCTCTTTGCAACTAATTTTTGCTTACAATGCTACGAAGTTAGTTGCGGATAATGAACTGTCAATTTTTTGACGTAACTACACGGTTACGTTTTGTGACGTATTGCTTACGTTTAGCTTATTTTTAAGCTTAGCACATACATTTTTTACATGAATTACATATTATTAAACATAAATACTAAAGTTTCCTTCGTTGTTAATTGTGTTTATAATAATTAATACAAAAATAACATGGAAATGTGATGTTATCAAAATAAAAAATGTTAATAAATATACATGTATAAAATAATAGATACTATAAGATATAATTTTTTTTTCTACGTAACTGTTGTCTATAAAATTATTAATATTATGTGTAATATTAAATTCACGTTGTTCTTTTTCTTTTATAATTATTTGGTATTATTCTTTTTATGTTGATTTAATACAATAAAACATGTTTATTTTAATTTAATGACAGGTTTGATTCATGAATTTTTTTTTCTTATAAATAAATAAATATAGTGCTTGATAATATAATATATTTAATATTTTTATATATACACCAAACTAGATAAAAAATAAAAATAAATTAAATATAATGTTTTTTATTCTAATTAAATTTAACTAACGTATAAAAACTGACTGAGAGTTGTTTTTAAAAATATGTTTGAGTTCATTTAAACATAATCAGCAAATTAAACTGTAAAAATTATGGGTTATCGATTTAATATGCTATATATATGCTGTTATAATATGCTAATATAATATGCTAAAACAATATGCTGTTAATGGTAGCCCTGCTTGATTTTTGACGATATTTGCACACTATGGAAAGAATTAGTTAATAATTTTATTTCTTTTAGTTATATACAATGAATTATTTCAACAAACATTTTATCCTTCCTCTTGAGGCATTAATTTATTAACATTTGAATGACAACAAACAAATAAACAAATATAAACAAAAACGAGTATCTTTGTTTTTAAAAAGTCAAATGTTGAAAGCATAACAAACGCGAGACTTGTAAACCTATAATATGATTATATACACACATTATTGTTCATATGGTACATAAAAGATAATAAACCTTTCTGTTAACTTTATAAAGAGAAGGTTTTGGGTGCTTTTCGAAAACTTTTGTTGCTCGTCTCATAGATAACAGTATTCATGTGTTGTAACCCGCCGGGATCTGAATAACACATAAGAGTTACAAGAAGAGACATGCGTTTGGATGTGGAGGGGTGGTGTTTGTGGTAAGGGTAAGGGTAAAATAGAGGAGGACAACGTAATGGGGGGCGGAAGTAGAGCTATACTTTGGGCACATATTAGGAATAGATGTGTTTATGCGTGACAAGTAACTGTTTAGCACATGGCAATACACTGATCTTGCTGCACAGGGAAACATCGTTTTTCGTAGGAGATATGAGGCGGAGACCTGCTGAGATCCTTGTTGAGAGTCAACCTAGGATACAGCATCTATGCGGAGTGCTATAAGTACACGTTAAGGTATTCATGCAACATGTATCGATGTATTATTACAGATGAAAATGTACTGCGATTAATATATACTATATCGGAAACTAAGAGACAACTAAACCTTCGAAATACCAGTCAATTATAAAATTTAGCGAGAATGTTGTGAAAAGGGCGTGAAATATTATTTGCAGTTCAGTAAAGTATTTACAAAAAGAGAAAAGCGCGTAATATACTAGAGAAGCTGTTTTAAGAAAAATTTTTTTGCACTTTATTTTAGGTGATCAATTTCTGTAGAAAACTTCCATCTACAATACATTCCTAACATAATCCATGAAATTAATATAATTCATGCAATATACAGTATTAAAAAATATTTATTCAAATCGTTTACTTAAGTTTTTACAATGAATTAAAAGTTTTATGAAGTAAATATACATTTCGTTAACCTTAACAAATAAGTTATATTTGTTAAGGTTTTTTTGCTTTTAATAAAATTCATTCATAATCCTAGGGAATTTATTTGTTGAAAGTGTTGGGCGACACTTGGTTCTCTATAGAAGATAGGAAGCGTAGACCCGTTTAATCCAGAAGCCTACCAGCCTCTTTTCTTGTACTATGTACTATGCATGTAATCGAATGCGAGTGCTATCTTTTTAAGTATTGCAATTCCAGTATTCTCTAACAAAGATGAATTCCTATTGTTACTTAATTTTGTGTCTATGCAATGTGGGAAATTGTCTTCAAAATAGTATTTTGATTTAGTATTCCATAGTTTCTATATCAATTATAATATATAATATGTATACTAAGTAGCGAAGTTAATTAATAATAGTTATAATTATGACTTGTGAAAACTAAGTAGTGTCTAAAAATTCAGTTTTAGAAATGTTTGAAAATGTTTGATATATAACAAATTTCAGTTATAAATTGTATAATATAATATTTTTAACTTTGGAACGCAATATGCTTTCATAACTGCTTTCTTCAGAGCAATTAATGAACACTTAGCACATAAAATACCATGTACCTTTCAGTATTCGTTAATATGTACTTTTCGCATATGAGCTAGGAAATGACAAAATTATTTAAATGAAATTAAATTTATATAAATAAAATATTACCATAAAGGTGAGACCTTTCTTCAAATTTCAGACCACAAAAATCACATTTCAAAGTCATCACTTCTTTGTGCTTTAATCGCTTATGTAATTTAAGCGACTTCCGGGTTGTATAAGTGCAATCACATTTATCGCATGGAAATTCAACAACTAAAAAGAAAAGAAAATTTTTTCTGTGATAGTAATTATATTATATGAATTTAGCAATAATATAGTTTTCATTCAATGAAAAGAATTATTCGTTTTTATATTTAAACGAGAGAACTTTTACGCCAAGTAAATATAAACAGCAAAGTTCAACTCACTTTTGTGGCACTCCATATGAGCCACTAAACTTGTTTTCAGTGTGAATTTCTTGCTGCATACATCACATTTATGTCTCAAGGCATGCATCATCGTTTGATGGGTTCGTAAGTTACTAATACTCTTAAAATTCTTATCACATTCTGCACATGCATATGGTCGATTTGAGCAGTTTACTTCCTTTGGTGGTTTAGATACTCTACTATCTGTTTTATTATGCGAGAGCCGCATGTGAATGTGTAGTCCAGCCTCCGTTGGAAACGTGCTATTACATATTTCACATGTTGATTTCAGCTCATTAGAGTGTTTGAGCCTTAGATGATGTTTCTTTTGAATGTAATTTTGGAAAGCTGTGTAACGATTAAGCATTAATAAATGTCGTTAAATTATTAAATGTAAATATTGACTTACTCTGGTTACAGTAGTTGCATTTAATATGCGTTTCTGCGCCGTGCACTTCCGCATCGTGTGCCTTTAGGAATGCTTTTGTAAGAAAATCTTTAGAAATTAAAAAAATGAGTGTTAATAATACGTTATAGTATAAATATGCAGACAAACCTTTTCCACATTCACTGCACAAAAAATCGCCCACACCTTTGTGTGATGATATGTGAGTTTTTAAGTGGTTTATGGCTACAAACGATTTTTCGCAACCTTCATAAGAACACTTGTATTGTTTGTCTGGATCGTGCCATTTCATGTGGTAATCAAATTGTGCTTTGGAACTGTTTTGCATGACAAGGCCACAAATATTGCATGTATAACTTGACTTAAAATGCCTTTGCAAATGTGTCAAAGAAACTCTTTTTATGAACTTCGCACAAATGGGGCATATTTTTCCACGTCTATGCTTATTTTTAAAATGCGACTGTGCTTCAGCAAGGCTATAGAAACTGCTATCGCATAACAAGCATTTATAAGGATTTTTTTTATTTTCGTGCATTAACGTATGATGTTTATTTTTTTCTTCAATCGTGTTGTACAATAAGTCTTCAGATTTATCGGAAAGGCACATGAGGCATATTAAAGGATTTGGCTTCACCCTGGTGCGTTTATTGGGAAGTATTTCCTGAAATGGAAATATTTTATTTAAAATAATTATATAATTGGAAATGAATTCTGACTTACAATGTGGTCTTCCCAATTTGTTTTTTCATCAAAACCAGTAATGTTTTCTTCTGAATTAGCCTCATCATTAGTTTCACTGATTTCATTGGAGTTGCTTTCCTCTAGTATGGACTCAATTCCAACATCTTCAATCGGCGAAACTTGAATGCTAGTATCTTGATTAGTATTCAGATCTCCGTCCTTGAGTTCTATAGTTTTATCATTTATATCATCATAATCAAGGAAAGTGATTTCATTTTCATATGTGTCGGTAGCCATGTACACATCAACTGTTTCATTTAATTCATTAGATTTAAGTTCGTCGGAAATATTTGCTAAATCATTGTTTATTTCTTTTACTATTTCTGTTTCTACTTCGCAATCAGAAACACTGAAGTCTTCAAGCTTCTCTATTTCGTTATCCTCGTTAACTGGTTCTATATCCAGCTCACTTATATATTCTTCTTCCACAGCCTCTACACAGTAATCCTCAATGTTATCAAACAAAGCTTTTTCCAAATCTTTGAAGTGATCATTTGACTCTTCACATAAGCTACGAAATTTTTGTAGTAAATCAAAAGAATTATAACATTCAGCGCACACTTGTTTTGGGAAGTGATCGGTAAGCGAAACCTATTAATAAGTATTTCTTATTATATATTCTATAAAATGTAATGTTTTAAGAAGTTACTTTTATGTTCCACATCTCCATTTGAGCGATAAAAGAAACGGCCCAGCTGTTGTAGCCATCTGTGTTCGCCTTTGGGAACAGTTCATAGCAATAATCACCAACATTTAATTTTATTGCACAAGTTCTGCAACGCATTTTTTCTCTAAAAGATGTCTTATTTTACCATTAATATTAAGTACTATTTAATTAATAAAATTCTTCCAAAAATTACTAAACGCTGTCACTCGGCTTTTGTTTTGATATTTCGAAGCGCGATTGCTTACAATGCGTTAAGGTATAGTTTCAATGCACCAAGAGAACATGAACGCAGAAAACGTAAGCAAGGCAACAGCACCCAGTAGTGATGTGGAAAGCGCAATACTGATCAATGCTACTAGACTTTAAAATATTCGTTTTAAAATACATAAAAGGAATAATATAAATATTAAGTGAAAATATGCATAAAGGCAGTATTAACTCATTTTCGACTATTTCCATTTTGAACAAAAGTAGGAGTCTTTCGATGTAACTCGGCAATAGTTACGGAATAAAATGGCAGTCGTTCAAGTGCAACTATTTAATTCTATTTTGATAATATTAGGTCTGTTCCACGAGCTACTCGTAGTAACTTTGAGTAATACTCTGCAGAAGTGCGTTACACCAGTAAATCTTCTAGCAAATGAGAGCATTTGAGAGAGCGTAACATCCCTGTCGAAATTTGAAAATCAGGCTTCACACAGACTTTACTCGTACATTTTATTTCAAGTAAAATTTGTGTTGATGTGTGAATCAGCTGTTTTGGTTTGAATTTAAATTTTTGTATTGTTTATTTGTGACTGGTGTTCAAAGCTGTTCCATGAAAATCTGTGTAAAGAGCGTAATTTGACACTTTATTTATGTTACGCTCTCAGTGTGTACTTGTGTTTTACTTGAGTTTTACTACGAGTAGCTCGTGGAAGAGATCTTTTATAACAGTACTATGGTATATCAACTCATTTTGGTTTCTTTGTGTTAAATAGATGCTAGGAAGAATTATAACAAAAAAACGTTCTTTCGTATAATTTTTTTTTATTTATTCTATTTTCTTATTCATTAGTTATTTCAAAACTAAAAATGAGATTTAGTAAAATATGTTCAATATTATAAACTAAATTAAATATAAAATCATTTAATTAATCTTGAAATCAAGAAATATATAATTGTTTGGCACTTGCAGTCCAAACAAATTGTGTACGGACTATAAACTAATTAAAATTCGATTATTTCCTGAGACCACTGATGATGAGTGCTTGGCAGTTCTCAAAACACCGTTGTATAACTTAACTAAATTAACTAAAATTTTTGCTTTTGTCTTTCCTTTACTATTCGAATCCGTCTAACTTTTAAATAGTTACTTTCGTCATAAAGACGCGTTACACTTGGCAAGAAAAATTTAACATTATAAAATTAGTATTTAAATATGTAATAATAGTAAATATAAAAAATGACAGGGTACGAGCTCAACCCTTGATGCTTGCAGTCTCAAAACTTATTTAGGAATAATTAAATATAAAAAATAATTCATTAACAGACCACTGTTAATGGGTTTTTGGTAATATTCGAAACAGCGTTGTATGGTCAGCCAAATTTCAATAAATTAAATAAAAATTTTTGTGTTTGTCGTTTATTCGAAAAAAAACCGTCTAAATTTATAATTGCTTAACAATTAAGTTCTTTGAAAATTTTGGAAACTCTGTCCTCTGCTTTGACTGTCCCTGACAGTTATGTCACGCAATTGTTGTTGCATCTCGCACTTTATTTTGCATATACACATACTCTGATGTAAATTTACATATAAATAGTAAAACATATACAGCAAAACAGAATAGATTAAGAACGATTTAACAAATCAACTCTAACTGAGCTGACAGTGAGTGTAATATTTACATTATCTTTTGTATTTATATAACGTTTACTCCGTTCCAAATATCTCATTTGTAATGAAGTGTTTACATTGGCCACTTTTAATTATGTAAGACAGCTGATTTATCAAAATATATTTGTTTATGATTGTTTGGTGAAAATAAAGAAATAATAATTGCTCAGCAATTGAGTTATATTATTTATCTATTTACACTTGTAGTAATAGTAATTTTTATCAAATATATTAAAAAATTTTTTATAAAAGGAGTGTTCAGTCTATTCATTTACATTTATACCACACTTGTATAAATGTAATTTGAGACCAATGCAAATGAGATGTTATATGTCGAAATACGAATATTTATTTATTTTTGCCAAAGTAAGGCATTTGGATCCAATATAAACATTGTATTAAAATTCATACACTGAAATAATTGATTATATGCTATTAGACGTCAGCTCTAGGGCTTTACTGAGCGTCTTAACGCCTTTCAATTTGCATTTTATAATATATATTAATGTTATGTAAAAATTTTACAAAAACAATACAGTAAAAGTGTTATTTCACTGCACCATTCCTTCATATGGTCTCTCTACTTATCCAACACATCCTCTTAAAATTTGTATATAATTATATATTGACATGTTATCAGATTCAAATTGATCTTAATATTGTTTATAATAAAAAATTTGTTTTAAGAAATCAAGAAAGAAATTTTTATTTATAATTATTAAATTAAATCTATGAAAATACATTATTATTCTGACAGCAACAGATAGTAAACTGTAATGTTGCGTGTACATTCAATATTTGTATTATATTAAGTAAATTTAATATAATTTACATAAACTAATTACATTTGTATTGCCATTTAAAGATCAACTAAATTAAATAATTTCCAATTTTAAAATAACATACATTTTATCACATGGAAACAAAATAAATTTAAAAACGTAAAAATATTCATGGCATATTTTTCAGTTTTTCTTAAAATGTAAAATAAAATCCTAAATACAATCAACATGTTTTGATAAAGGCAATTTATATACTATACGTACATTATTATTTTCAAAATCGACATAATTTATTAAATTTAAATTAACGCTAATATAAGCTTTAAATTATTTGTCCTCAAGCGCTTTGGCTTTTGGGTCTTCATATAAGAACTTATGTGCCTTTTTTAAGTGCGCTAAAAATAAAATAAAAATGAAAAATGTTTGGTATTTTTATTGCCGTATTCAACTTACTATATAATTTTTGACGGTATTTAAACTGCTCGTTACAATAATCGCACTTAATATTCTTTTCGTTCGTATGTTTAATCCTTTTATGTAATTTAAGAGACTTCCTCATTTTAAACTTATTACCGCACTCTTCACATTCAAACCTGTCTTCTACAATTGAAAATAATATTATAATACATAAGTTTATCACACTTTTTATATATTATATTAAAAGAATTACCATTGTGTGTTTCCATGTGCACGGTGAGTGTGTAACCATGTGCAAAGCGCTTGCCGCAAACTTCACACTCCAACTGCTTCTCTCCGTGCATTAATTGTTCATGCGTACGTAGATTACTTGCAGTTTTAAAAAATTTTTTACATTGCTTGCACGGGAATGGACGTCCATCAGATGAATGTACTTTTTGATGGGCTAAAAACGTGGACTCTGTGTGAAATGTTTGGGTGCAATTACTACAGGCAATACTGCCACCGCTTGATCTTGCTGGAGGATGTCTTGTATAAGCAGTTGGCTTTCTATTCCGCATTATTTGACATCTCCTTAAATGTAGGCGCATACCAGTTTCAGTTGGAAACAAATTGTGACAATTTTCACAACTTATAGTTATCTTTTCAGGATGTTCCTCGCTTTGATGTTTTCGCTTTTGTTTGTAAGTCTCAAATACTGAAATGTTTGACATGTTAGAAAATATTTTGCAAATTTATATATAAATGAGTTGCATTTCACACCTTTATCACATATGTTGCATGCTATCTCAGGGTTAGCTCCATGATTTTTAATTGTATGGGTTTTAAGCATAAATTTGGTAGCGAAGTCTTAAAGAAAATGTTTCAAATATTATTATTTATATTATATTATATTAAATAAATGATACTTACCTTTTCCGCACACAGTGCATAGGAAAGCGCCAAACTCTTTATGTACGGACATATGAGCTTTTAAGTGGTTATGAGTAACAAATTTTTTTTCACAACCCTGATGGGAACATTTAAATTGCTTTTTGGGGTCGTGCCACCTTTTGTGATATTCAAATTGTATTACTGAACAGTTGCGCATAACAATTCCGCAAATTTCACAAGTAAATGTAGATTTCACATGACGTTGCAGATGATTGGTAGATAAATGTTTCACAAATTTGCCACATATATGACAAGTTTCGCCTATTCTATGGCAGGCATTAAAATGTCCTTTCGCCTCATCACTTGTATCAAATCTTTCAAGGCATATCAAACATTTATACGCTTCTATATGATCAAGGTGTTCTTCTTGCTGATGCACTTTCAATTCTTCCTCTGATGGATATAGTACGTCCTTAGATTTGTCAGAGAAACAGAAAGTACATAGAAGCGGATTCGGTTTTAAATTAGAGATGCTTTTCATATCAAATCTCTGTAGTTTAAAAAAAATTAAATAAAATTAAATAACTTTCTCGTTTTTAATATAAAATAAAATTCATCACATATTAAATTTGATTTTTAAAGTCAATTATGACGGAAGTAGCCGTGTTTCTTAATAGAAAATATTGTTTTAATAGAGATGTTTTTCAAACTGTAAGAACCCTTGGTATTAGCAGTCTCAAAATTATTAACGAATAATTAAATATAAGTAATATTGCCAAAAGACCATTGAGGAGAAGTATTTGACAATATTCAAAAAAGCTGGAGATTCAATTAAATAAATAATTCAAATTTTGTTGTTTTAATTCACTACTGTTCAAAATACCTCTCTATTAAAATTAATTATTTTTTGAAAAAAAAAAAAAATGAAAACAGTGGATAGTTCATATTTTATATTATTTGTGTTATTTTTACCAACTTAAAAAATTTTTTTTTTCACATTCATAGGCTTTAAAAACACAAATAATATCAGAAAAACTAACTCGAAACTATTCTAATTTATTTTTGATAGTCTATAAGTATAAATAGAGTTTACAAAATAAGTCGTATATATGGACTCGAATTCTTATTATTGTTATCCAAATAAAAAGGTAAGCTATGGATTTGTCTACGGTTTATTAGTCTTCCTTTACATAATCAATCCTTTCCTTTACAAATCATTTAAAAAATATTTTAAATGATTTGATATTTTAGTTTGTGTTCGCGGACACAAACTCTAACAATTTTTTGAATTGTTTCGGAATTTTTTTAATGTACTGTTCGTTTAGTGTTCTTTTTATCGAAGATGACAAACAGTACATAAAAATGTATGATGTATTGTATAATAATACACACTTTATAAATTTTTTAGGTTAAAAAACTCTTAAAAAATATTATCTTTGTTTTATATTTGGAAAAATTGAGCCAGTTTTTTTTTATTTAATTGAAAACGCAGAATTTATATTGTACACTACTTAAAGACAAAACATAAGGACAAAAACTCGGTCCAATTTACCTTAAAGCTATACAAATTTTGTTGAGGTTCATAACTCAAATCACTATATAAGTATTTTGATAGGAAAGTGCCAAATGTTCGTTCGTTTTTTAATAATCTACGGCATTTTAAAGAAATATCAATCATAATACACAAAAAGAAATAAATAAAAATATTTGAAATATTTGGGTTAATGGTATATGGTGGTTTTTAAAAACAAGTCTATATGCATTGGTGAGAAATAAATATTATAGTAATACATTCAAAAAGAAATGCTATAGCGATGTGTGAAAGAACACAAAAATTATTTATAATAAGGGTACTCATCTAAAATGACAAAAATTTATCTACTTGGTAAATGTATCAACTTCAAGTATCATCTCAAAAAGACAACTCTTGCTGAGGAAGACACACTTGCAGTCTATGTTTAGAAGACTGCATATATATGCGGTGCATATATTGACGCAGGACTATCGTGGGACACCATTGGTTTGATGATGACTTGGCAGCAACCTCAAGCTAAATGAGCTGCTTGCATTAACAAGCAATGTAGTCATGCGCACGGAACCCACTCTAGCTTTAACTCAATAACGACCCAAGTCATTTCATAGTCTACTTCGGCTAATTCATCACTTTAGTGCGGCCACTTGTTGGACGGTGCACTGTCCCAACGTCCCACAATATATATATATATACTTGATAAATGAAATGTTTAATCTTGTATGAAAAATCGTTTATACAATGTTAAAGTTTCACAATTATTTTAAAATGCAACGATATTGACTAAACGTTTGGTCGACAAAATTGCGATGCTGAGCATTGCATTTTGTGCTGTTATAATTTATTGACAGCTGATTGATAAATTTAAACAAATATTTCTTTTAATGCGTTCACTTTGCAACACTAAACATATAAATAAACATATATATTTATACATTCGATAAATTTATGTGCTTAGATGAGTGTCCTTAATATATTTTAAACGTATCCATATAAATTTTTTTTTATAGTTTGTCTTTTATTTTACATACCGTACTATTTCTAACTTTTTTGACGTCCTCCTCCTTTTCCTCGAAAACGGTGTCTATCTCAATTTTTACTTCATGTTCACTTGCACTATCTTCATAGTCGCTTTCGACGCTTTCGACGCTTTCGACGCTTATTACGTCTATATCAGCGGATGTATATTCAAGTTCATTATTTACAAGTGAATCATTTTCGTATTCTTCAACATATACTTCTTCAACAAGTACATCATCATATCTTATGTCTTCCTTTTCTAATTCGTGTTTTATTTCTTGAAGAGTTACATCAGCACTCGAACATTGTTCTCTAAAATTTAGTATTATTGAAAACGTTTGGAAGCAGGTTTCACAAATCTGTTTTGGTAAATCATCATCCAAACGAATCTAACAAAAAATAATTTAATGATAATAATACTTAACAATGTTAAATTTATGCTTACCCCAATTTGCCAGAAATTCATGTGTTCCAAAAAGTCTTCGGTCCAATGCGTGTAATCCGGATCATTTTCTTTTTCTGGAAATAAATTATAACCGATACTATCTAAACTTATTGTTTCAGTACAACTTCTACACTGTGTCATGTTTATAAAGCTGGCTATAAACTAATAATTTAAGTAATTTTAAGAAAACTCCAAACAAAAACCGACACGGTCTTAATGGTGATAACAAAATTATTTGTTATTTCCTTTAATTTCAGGTGATGCCACATATTTACTTTGCTAACAAGCGGAATTTTGAAACTGTCACTTAACAGATATAACATGTAAACGACGCAAAAAAATATGATTGACAATTGCAAATATCAAAAAATAATTGGAGTGCAGAATTATATTTAATACAACTAAATAATAATAATACAACTAAAATAAAATTTTAGCTGAAAAATTGGTGAAATATTTCTATTAAATATTTTTGAAAAACAACAACAATGCTCTTAAACTTTTAATTAAGTTTTACTACCAAAAATTTTTACATCTTAATTTTTAATGCAATCAAATTCAAAAATCAGTCTATTGTGAATGTTCACTGGAAATATGTCCAAAATTTCAGTCACCGGTTAAAGTCATATGAGCATTTCATTTACTTACAAATACAAATACATAAATATATTAATTTAAATAAAAACGATAAAAATGGTTACCATTGCTCTTCTAATATTCATTTTGTCTTCTTTTATTTAAACTAATTAATTTTCACTGTTTACAGTTTAGCTATTTTCTGTTTACATTTTTCATATAAAACATATGACACATATTTTAAATTTGGATAATATCCCTTGTGGGAAATTCATTTTTAAGGGTTGCATTCGACATTTTTCGTCTTTAATGAACTGATTTATTGATAATGAGCTCATTTATATGAAAACTTTTTATATGGTTAATGAGCAAAACCCCCTAAATGAGACAGTGTGAATAAGTGACAAGGCACAGATAGCCTTGACTCTCATGGCCGAATTTAAACCGACATTTGGTTTTTCTTTTACTTTTTAATTTTTTAAATTAAAAAATTTTTAAATTTTTATTGAAAGCAACAACATTTTTAATTTTAGTGTGCAAGTGACATTTTGCAGTGCCCGAGATATTCTACATAACATGGCCCTAACAGGTCTCCTATATAACATGGGTCTCATGTGTTAGAACCATATTACTGCATATTACAAATGCTGACACTCAGAGAGTATTACAAGATTAAATTAATTTACATTATTTATTGAGCCCTAATTTTGACGTTTCTCATGTTATGTTTTGTTTCGTGTGTTTGATAAATTTTTGTAAATAAAAACATTTATTAACAACTTTGTACAAAAAGTTATAATATAAATTTAATAAATAGTTTTATAACACAAATTTGTAAATTTTTTAGAATTATATATAAAAATATTATAAGTATAAACAAATTTTATAATTTTACTCACTTTGGCATTTTCAAATTTTCAATGTTTGTTTTGAATATACTTTGATTTTTTTTTTTAAATTTTTTTAAATCGTAAAAAAATCTAGGATATTAAAACATTTGAAGAGTTGCACAGAAAAATATTCACCATTTCTAAAGAGATTAAAAATTAATATTGACAAGATTAACTTTTGTATAGGAAGTCTGAGATTAAACAACCAAATTAGTACTTTAATCTCGTTTATTATTTAAATCTACTTATTATCTCACAATGTAAACACAGTATAAGCTTTTTAATTTGTGGGGTTAATTATAAGAGTTATAAGAATTATAATTATATAAGAGTAAAAAGAATTATAAGAGAAAAAACAATTTTGTATTAAAGTAAGTTTAATGAGACAAATCTTTAGTATTAAGATTAGACCCTTTCTTTTGTAAGTATATCAAATAAAGAACAACTGCTTATTATAAAAATAACATATGAAACGACAACACTGCTGGCTTACCATCCTTTTTGAAATCGTTTAACTAATAAGCAGCTCAAATGGCATGGCTGCCAAGCCTCAAAATTCGTCTACTGTGAACGATTTTTGGAAATACATACGAAATTTCCAGTTAACTGTCAACGAATGTTTTTGTTAATTCTTCGTATTTCGTGTTGTCATTGTTCGTAACAAATACTTTACTTTTTCTATTTATTATTTTACTGTTAAAATGCATGAAAACTCATATATTATTCACAATCATGTAAAAAGAAATATTCGTACCAATAATTTGCAAAGAATTATTATATATTTTAAAAATTTTAACTTTAAATTTTATTACGTGTTTTGTATACATAAGCCTAACAAAATCTCCATTTTGTTCAGTGTTGCCATCGAAAATTGTGCTTATTTTATTTGTTCTTTTGTGACGTGCTTACAAAAGAAAAGGCTTATTATTATAGAAAATTTATGTATGAAATATAATTTGAAAAAAAATGCTTCGAGCAACCTTCACATAATTTGAGCTACAGCCTTTTTATGAACGTATGGGCTGCTTAATGTTTAACATTTGTGTGACACATGTCAATGCGCATAAAATTATTTTTAGCAAAATTGGCAGAATTTGTTTGTTTGACTGCGAAAATTTCCGGTTAATGTGATTTCATTAATAATTTTCGTACATTAACAAATAAAAAAGGTTAACATAAATAATAATTTGAATAAAATACTAATTCAAATTTTATAAACTAATTACTATACAAAATCGGAGCGCAGTTCTAAGTAATTCACAAACTGAAGTTACGCGCCAATTTTTGCAACTGTAGTTAGAACGGAATTTTCGCTAAATATGACGCGGATTCATGATTATGAGGACCTGGTGCTTGATGCACTAGAAGTTGTCGAATTTAAATTGAGTATGTAGTAATTAATAAAATTTATAAACTATTTGTATTAATTTTAAGCTTTTTATAGTCCGTGACCGTAAAGATGTGGAAAACGATGCGATCGTTTTTCATCCGGCAATGGCGCATCAAATATTTGGTGAGAGCGAGAGCATTTTTGGTTACCAAGATCTAAAAGTGCACATATATTACACTGCTGGTCCACTGCATATATATGTAGGCACTGAGCACACAAGTAAAGTGGATGAGCTTTCTGGCGGCGACATAAAGGCAGATGATGTAGTTGGCATAGTTGCTGAAAAATTGCCAGCTGGATGCTGTTTTTTGAATATTGACGAGTTTCTTAAGACCATTGATAGGGCAGAAAAGTTTCAACCCTTTGGTGAAAAATTGACAGAATATAAGCACTCTGATGGCGACGGCAAAGAAAGGTTATTTGAAATTTATCATTGCACTTACAAATCGGCAGCTTTTTTAAAATTTTTTGCTCGTTTACAAACATTTGTGTTGTGGTTTGTTGATGCAGCTTCATATATTGACGTGGATGACCCACAGTGGCATTACTTTGTTTGGTAAGTATGCAGTCTTTATCTTATTGTTTCACACACGTATGTAAGTATATAATTTATGCAAATATGTACAATAACACATATAGTGTTTTTATTAGAAAACTAAATTCAGGGTTCTAACTGTCATTGGATTATTTCAGAAATAAAAATTATGCAGTTAAATAAGTAGTTTTTCATATTTATAATTAATATTTGTATTAACACTCTTAAGGAATAGCATATTAACGAGTTTCGTGAGTAGCTAATGATATATATATTTATATAATACTATTAGTGCTGAATTCCGAATTCCGTCATTGCTTCAACGGTAAAAATACATTGTAATATATTAGGTACATATCATGCTAATAATAGTTATACCAATAAGGTATCGAAGATCAGAACCAGTTTAATATTAAAAACGAAACTTCTACTACATAAATGTTTATAAATGATATTTTACTAACATTCGATTACAAGTTATTCTTATAAGCTATACTTATTTCATAACTTTATTGTATAGATACCATATTTCTATGTTATTGTAAACAATTCATCAATTTAAAACTGCAGATAATCGAATGTGTTTCAATGATTTTTTTTTTGGTTAAAAAAATTTAAGGAAGTCTTTATAGGTCTTTATAGATTTTTTGAATACTTTAGTAACGAATTATTTTGTTGTTGTTGTAACTCACAGGGATCTGCTTGTGTAGTCCCTTTTGGATGTGGCGAACGGCACTTAGTAGTCGACTTCTACAAGTAGCTACAGGACAAGGAATTCTATTCCAAATTTTTATTTAATTTTTTATATATTATGTTTTAAAATATTGTTCAAAATTTTTAATATTTCGTTATTAGCTTAATAAAATTTTTACATTAACTGATTTAATTTATTTCATAATAGCTATGAAAAGTACACAAATGATAATGCTGAACCACAGTATGCCACGGTTGCCTATACAACAGTATATGAATACTATGCATATCCACAAAATGTACGTCCTCGTATTAGTCAAATGCTGGTTTTGCCACCTTTCCAAAAGCGCGGTGTTGGCACACATTTAATAGAAACAATATACAAATTCTATCAAGCACAGAAAACGGTTATTGATATCACCGTCGAGGATCCCTCAGATGAATTTCAACGTTTACGTAATTGTATTGATGCGCGTTTATGTAAGGATCTCAAATCCTTTTCCAAAGAACAATTATTAAAGGGCTTCAGCAAAGAGATGATAACTGAAGCAAGAGAGACTCTTAAGGTATGACCACTAGAATTTATACTCGATTTCCTTATATATAAATTATTTTATTGCAGATAAATCCTCGTCAATGTCGCAAAATATATGAAATTCTAAGACTTATGCACACCAATATCTATAATGAAGAGGAGTATAAGGATTATCGTTTAGATATTAAAAAACGTTTGAATGCTGTATATCACAAGCAACTCGACGATATTAAGAAAATGGAAAAGGCAAAATTTGATACCGAATGGTTGCGCGCACGTATTCCTATATTGACTTTACGAATGGAACAGCTGCAGGAGGAATTCGAAGCTGTCGTATCAGATTATAAGAGAGTTATTGAGAAGTTAAATGCTTAAATGCTACAATTAAAATTGTTACATTATTTATTTTTTTTATACTACGCTTTATATAATAAAGCAATTCAATCAGATTTAATAAATTAATAAACTCAGTGATTTCTTTAAAAAGTTGAAGAAAATTATTTTATTTTGAGTGTACTCATTAGGTATAATCTTTTGGTTGGTATCTATGGATTTCCAAGTTATATCAAACTATTCACTCATTCTACATTGAACAAAGAACAAGTAAAATATGTTTTTTTCTATTGAAAAAATACATATTCTAAGCCCAACTAAATATTTTTTAAATTGTAACAACTGTTTACGCGATTTTTTATTTAAGTTTTATTATGATATTTAAATGCTAAGTATAAAATGCATTCGCGGATTGTGAGTATATACTATGGAAGTATTACATACAGTGCCTATTTAAATGTCGAATATATGTATCAACTTATTATGAATAATTAAAAAGCATGAGCAAATGTGTATTTTTTTGTAGGACCTGATTGTGATGTGATGTTTAACTACATTGAATTCAGTTGTCATTTTAAAACGATCCATAATCTTCCATCCATTTCTCAAAGCGTGTGACATCATCAGCAGATACAGATTTCTTGGTTCTCTGCATTGCGTCGTGAAAATCTTGTAACGTGATCGGAAGATCGACATCTTCCCGACGTATTTGTCGAATCTCAGCTGGAGTTAAACCGGATATTTGTCTACGCATAGCCATCATAGCCGCATCACGGCAAACGTTACTTATATCAGAACCTGAATAACCTTTTAGCTGATCCGCAATTAAATCTGTTTCTACAGTTGGAGATAAGTTCACATCCTTAAGACAGAGTTTTAACAGCGCAGAACGAGTTTCTTCTGTTGAGTAAAAATGAATTAAAAAACATACACATAGTGTTTTAAATAATCTAAGTGTTCTCGAGTACAAACATTTGCATTAAGCACTTTTTATTTTCGAAAATGTTCGAGCCGCTTGAACAGCTTATCTACTTTATATTTCATTTTATTTTCGGTTTTTATATTTTATACAAATACATAAACCATTTAATGCTCATATATCAAACGCTGTTCGAACATTTTCGCGTACCATGCTGTGTTCGTAACTTCCGACTGCTCAAATAATTGGAACTCTAATGCCCATACTTACCGTTTGGAAGAGCTATGTAAATACGCTTTTCGAAGCGTCTACGAAACGCTTCATCAATATCCCAAGGATGATTTGTAGCTGCCAAAACCATTATAACCTTTTCGTCCTGTAACGTTGCATTCAAGCCATCCATTTGTATTAGCAACTCTGCTTTGAAACGACGACTAGCTTCATGTTCAGAGTCACTACCACGTGATGCACAGAGTGCATCGATTTCATCAATAAATATAGTGCTTGGAGCGTGAAAACGCGCCATCTCGAACAATAACCGTACTAACTTCTCGCTTTCTCCACGATATTTAGAAGTTAGTGTTGATGATGAAACATTGAAAAATGTTGTACCACATTCTGTTGCGACTGCTTTAGCCATCATTGTCTTGCCGGTACCAGGTGGGCCCACCATTAACACACCTCGCCAGGGCCGTCGTATACCTTTGAAAAAATCAGGCATTTGAACGGGAAGTACGATTGCCTCCTGTAATATAGCCTTTGCTTCATTTAAACCAGCTACATCCGTCCAATTTATACCAGGATTACGCTGTAATATATCTTTTTCTAAGGTATCAACCAAGTGAGGTTCATGACCAACTGGTATGAAATGTTTCGTTTTTGTTTTTGGAGAACTTTTCGGTGTACTTTGGGATGTTGAATTTTCTTCAAGAGAAGTGGCTTCTTGATCATCTGAGTTTGAATTATCATCAATTGAGTTTTTCTTTCCTTTATCCTTGAGCTTGATTTGTGTGGATAATTTACGTGCACGCACACGTTCCATTGAACGACTTTTTCGATTTGTTAGCGCAGAGGCTTTGACACTACGCGAGGCACGTAGCTTTTCAGCATTACCAGTAGTGCCAAAACTGCCAACATTATGTGAACTACCATGGTGACTTAAATTAATCGAAGGCAATGTTGGTTGCAATTCTGGATCACGTCGACGTAACGAAGAAATCCACCTATTGTCGTTTTGATTTTGGAAGTTTGTACTATTACTTGGAGTTGGCTGTTGAAGCGGGGTTGCAGCTATATGGTTTGCTGGTAGGTTAGTATTGGGCCGGGGTTGAGGTTGTACTTCTAAATGATATGAATTATATAAATAAAATTACGATAAAAATATATAACTTTACCTTGTGTTGGTATGCGATTTTTCATACGTAACCCTAAACCTATTGGGGCCCCTAAGGTAGCGCTCGAACCTGCAGCTAAACCGCTTAATGTTGTTGTTCTAGTAGTTTCTGTCTTTTTGATGTTTCCAGTGCGCGTTGGTCTGTGAGTTGTTGTTATTTTCGTAAAAGCAAAAGGTGGATACTGATCTAGTATCAATGAGTCCATCATACGTGCCATGTGGGAGAGACCAGTCGGAGGAGTGGTAGAAGCACTGTTAAGAACAAATTTTAATATGAATATATTTTTAATAGCTCTTTTATCATAATCGTCGTTTATAGCTTGTTATATATACATTTTTTCAATAAGTAAGCATATAATTTTATAATTTATAATTTCCTTTTAAATTTTAATAAATAAAGTAATTACATAATAAGTTTAACAACTACAATATATTCATTTGATTAAGCGTACATTAATAAAATTTTAAAATTGTAAAATTACAATTTAATATTATTGAATACAAAAATATTACAGAATTAACAGCGATTAATTAATTCGGAAAAGTCGTTGAGGTATACAAATTCATACTTTCAGAATTTAAATAGTATCATTATCCCTGTCTGTCTGTAGTAGTAAATCGGGATTCCGATAGCATTTCAAAACCTGTTAAAATGAGTCTAGATATACCTGTTATGTATGGCCTGTTGAAAGTTTAGAATATTATGCTGAAAGTCATCAATAGTTGCTCTTGCGTCAAAGATAAAAGAAAACTCCTGGGCATGTACAAAGCAACAATTTGATCTTTTGCGGTCTGTATTACTATAATATATAGTTCCTCGATCTAAATTGAACATTGTCCACTTTAGACTTTGTCAAATATTAAAGGTAATTGTTAAAAGTTTGAGTTTTTATACAGTAACACTATGGGCCAAAGACCCAAGTAGTTCCTTAGGGTCAACGGTATTACCTAACCTAACCGAATCGACAGTGACGTTGTTGTAATTTTGCCATGGATTACATGATGGTAAATTAATTATTGAAAAAAGTTTTGAAAAACTGTTTGAGTAGCTTAAAATATAAGTTACGGATTAGAAAATTTATACAACATACAAAACAACTTTTGTGATCATAAGATTGAAAAATTAAAGAAAAAGAAAAATTAAAGAGATAAATAGAATAAAATTAAATAGAATAAAATTCATAAATCTCATTTAAGACCTCATTAAAGCGCTAACGCGATCGACCTATAAATGTTTACAGTCCAAAAAATTTAATATGATTCATTAGTTTGTTATTATATATTTTAAAACTGATTGTGGGATGAATTAGGTGGCATATAAAAGGGTGATTATGGGGCTTAAAATCAATCCTCTCCTCTAAAATAATTCGAACCATTTTGGACAAGGTAAAATGGATTATTCAGTTTGATGTTTTTATATACACTTTGAATTAGTTTTATATTCAAATAAGTCTCTGTATATGCCCAGACTTGTTCGTCTTAATCTTATTGATTTACTTTTTTGCATATAAAATTTTTTTGAGTTCTATAATAGGAACTTTAAGGAAAAATTTCCCTCCTTCTTTATTAGTAGTTTTGTTTTTATGTCTCAAGTTGTTGAATACTGTGAAATCCTTCTCCAGGAAAGTATTCTTTAAACAATATTAAATTTCAAAATATTCCCTGGAAATGAGATTCCTGATTTTTTACAAACTAATAGTTTAATATTAGCAATGACTGAATATATATGTAGTATGTAAGTGTTTACTCTGTTTGTCTTACCTTTCCTCTATGCTTTGATTTCCCCAAAAACACATAAAATTCTTCGTAATCTTTTTAATCTGATTTGTTAATCAAATTAATTTCGTCTAATATATGCACACCTATTCAGTATCCTTCAATCTATATTTCAAGTGTCAAATTATAAAAATCTTAGAAAGGTTAATGTGCTTTATAATTTCTCTTGAGGGAACTAACTTTTTTTTTAGCTATTTGCCATAGACACATATTTGTATATTTTCAGTGTCAAAATAATATCCTCCCTATAGCTATCAACATTGGCATACTACCAATACCATAAAGCGAACCTATCGCCTTTCGTGCTAAGAATGAAGTTTATTTAAATATAGCGTCTAGTCTATGCGCCCTTAAATGTCGATAGTTAGAAATAATTAAATCATAATGACTGGGAAGTAAAAAAAAACATGAACACGGAAATAACATGACAACTAAGTACCTACAACAAATTTATTTTAAAAACATGCTGAAACTCCTACATTGGGTCTTGTCCACCAATGCATTTTTCTGCGTCATAGCCATTTCATTATAAGAGTTCATTAAACTTTAGAACCGGCGGGTTATTGAGTTGTACATGAGAATAAATATTATTTTAATTCGTCATCGAAATGTTGGTGTTGGAAGGAAATAATTTATGCTCTATTTGTTCGCAGTTGAAGGAAACTGTGTTCAAGGAATGTCCTTTGACAAAAATGAGTTGGAAAGTTTTTTGTTGGAATGCGTGCGCAATTAATCAGTTATCCAGATCTAGCATGAAAACAAATAATGCCAATGAGAGTATTGTATGTTCTAGGAATTCAAGCTTTTCTTGGCGCGAGAATGGAGTATTAACAGTCAATAAATTTTGGTCAGTTAGTCTTTTATTGGTAAAACCCCTAACCACCTTAGCTAGTTTAGCTTGGAAAATTAGGTTAATGATTTTTGCTTCTTAGCCATAACAAAGGCAATAATGTATACCAGTTGAAACTAAAGAAACATAAAGAATTTTCTAAAAGTAGGTCAATCAAAACATTACATTTGTAATCGCATGAATTTCTCTACTGCTTGACTACTCAATCATTCTTTTTCCGCGAATATTTTATGTAGCATGGACTCCGGTATAGTAGAAGTTCCGGTACGAAATACCTTTTTAAAACATTTATGCGTTTTTTTAAAATTTCATTTTAAATTTTCTCTACATTCTGTAATTCGTTTCCATACCTTTGCTCCTTGATTTAGGGAATTGAGTTGTTAAATTACTTTTAACAATTGTTCTTGTTCAATCTGCCTGTTTAGAATTTTAAACAATAAATAAATGAAAATAAAAAAAGTTATCGATTTATTTTTTAACCTTAACTAAGTGAATAACAACTTCATGTGTAGTGAACTATGATGAAAATTGCACTTCACTAAACTCTTATGGTATTTTCTCTAACTATTAGCATCGGGGTTAATCAATGATGTAGTAGTAAGGTCACCTCTAACGTCATGGATCTATCTTTTTCTCGCCGTCTCTTACCATATCCCTCTCTTTATACCCTAGCTATTTAAAATGCTATTATTTAATGTATGTTATTATATCACATCTATCACTACTGTTATGACTATACTAAATTAGATAGGAATATTGCAACTTTGGTCTATACATGCTTAATATTATAGAGGTATCTATTTTGTAGTTTTGATTTAGGAGCACTTTTCAGTGACACGGTAAATAGAACTGCTATCCAAAACAATTTATGTTTAGTTTCCGATTTCATAATACGATTCGCTTAACAACCGTTGAACACGTTATAAAAACTATGAAAGTTTTCCACAAAAAATTGAAAAATTTCACATCGCATTATTTTTAGTGATGAGACTCATTTTTCGCTGGGTACATATCTCAATTGTCGTATCTGGAACTTGAAAGTTTACAAGTAACTACAGAAAGTACATTATATCCATAAAAAGTCACTGAAAGCTATTGTTTGGCTTGTACTTTTTTTGAAAACAAGAAAACAAACAAGTGATGGCTAATTTTGATCGAAATATATACATATATATATGTTTACCAATTGGATAATATCATATCTGTCACATATGCAGTTTTAACAGGATAGTGTTATGTGTCATACAACGTGTACTTTTTTGGATTTGTTGCGCGAATAATTTTTCTGACGTCATCATCATACGATTTGTTACCATTGGACTTATCTATGTGGGGATACGCAAAAGATTACCCATATAAGCAATGTGGGTAATCTTTAAACTCTCGACACTTTGCAGCATATTGACAAACATCAGTTAAGTTATAGCCAGGCTATTACCAGCTATATGCCGACAAGTTATCGAAAATTATATGAAGAGTCCTGCAATATGTCCCTTTTAGGACAACTAAATGATGTCTTAGTGCAAATAATAAATTGAAATAAGAATTTGATCGAAATCTCATAATAATATATAATAAGTGGACAGTTGTAGTACATTGTGTAGATAACTTGCCTGTTGACAGGTCTCTTATTAGAAACTGACCTAAAATACGTACGATTCGAGATAACGAGGTAGGCAGTAGAGTTTTCCTCTAAACAACTGGATATATAGAAATATTATATTATAAGCCTTCTAATCATTGCAGAGTTTTTTAAATGAAACTTGGTGCTATAAATAAATGTATATCTGGCCATTAAGTGAATTATCTATTGAATAGAAATAAATTTTTACTATTAAATTACTTTGAGTTCAATATATCTCTTTTCTGTGTTTACACAGTTTATAAAAATATCGCAGGCTATTCTACCGTATCGAATATAGTTGGTTACAAAATGGAGAGTATCACTAATTTACAGGGTGTCCCTTCTTTTTTATAGGAAATAATCTATTCATGGAGATGACATTCAATAAATCTTATGGTAGTCGCATTTGTTAGGAAATCAAGCTTCGATGTTGAATAGTTCGTTCAATGTTTCTTGCTGCAGCTGTGAGGAAGATTGGGAAAGTGTTTTACGTCTGCTTTGACATCATGCAGTGTATGCGATATATGGAAAAAACATATTTGGGACTAACTTTCTTAAGGATCTGAGCTTTCATTAAGGATCTGAGAGATTCAAAATAATTTTAAACTTTCTAAGGTATATACGGTATTATAAACAGACCTAAACAGATCTATGTTGATATTTTTGTTCAGTAAGGTTTAGCAATTCATCATAAATCGTTTAATACTAGAACAACGGTTTCAAATTGTAGAAATTTAATTAAAAAAAAAAATCTGTTTACGAAGTTCATAGAGCACTTGGTCTATTTTACTGTCAATATAAGCAGCCTAGTGAGCAAATAATTCGTGCAGTTATTGATCGTTTTCGCACAAATTTTACTCTTCTCGATTCAAAACCATCAACAAATTGACTGTTTTGTGCGGTTTACATGCTGTGTAAGGAACTACTGTTGAATGAAGTGAGTTATCGAGCCATGCTGACTGAATTTTTGTTTCCAAAAATTGATTAGTAAAACATCGACGC